GGGGGGGGGGTTCATCACTTCCAAGTTTTGCTCTGGATGATATGATGAAGACCACTGAATACTGGTATTTCCTGAGGTGGTTCTACAGAGATGATGTGAACGATCTAATCTTGTTTTAGTATTTACAGTAATAAGATTGCTAATGAGCTATTACAAAATCCAAAGAGATTTCTGCACCAAATTAAAACTATTTTAAGAAATCATGTAAAAGAACATGTTTTAGATTCTATGTGTGGGTTTTTCTTATGCAAGTTTTGGGGGAGTCTGCAATAGGATGGCTTACTGCTAGGTGCAGGAAGATAGACCTGAGTCGATCATAACTCATGGGTAGATAGCAGCAGTCCTATGAGCAAATATGCAATCTGAAAGTCATGTTCTGACAACTGCCTTGTGGAACAGCTTGAACACTTGGAGTATATGCCCTTTTCTGCTGTGCGATAAAAGATTCAAAGAACCTCTGTTTGGCTTCTAAGAATGGTTCTTTGTCAGTGTTGATACTTCATCATATTAATGAAGGTAAGATCACTGTTGCTATTGTAGGCTCTCAAAACTGAGGAGGATGACACTTAAGCACATTTGTCTTAAATATAGATGTTTACAACCCTAGCAAATACTGACCACGTAGGATAGAAAGCACAGAAATGGTTATATTTTCTTAAAACCTTGTGCCTCACTGTCATGTGACCAAAACACTAAATTTTTCTAGCAACTGTGGAATTGTTTTGTAAAATAAAAACCAAACTCTCAGAAATTCTCAGCAATGTTTTATACTGTTAGTTGATTATTTGCTGTTGTGCTTTTTCTATGTATTTACCCTGTTTGATTTCTACTTTGATAAACATCTTTTCCTAACTTGCAACTTTCTCTGTAATGAGGTCAAATCTCTAGACTTATGAACATTCAAATTTTCAATAAAGTTGCTGTTGCATTAAATGAATTGCTTTTATGGTTAATACAGAGGTTTTTAAATGATGCTGACTCTCCAGCTGATGCTGGAATTGCTATGGATTTGTTTAACCAAGTGGTTAAGTCTCTTCCCCGTTTCCTTAGGTGTGGACATAATATGTGCTGGCTAAAGGGAATCTTCATGTCACCATTGCTGTGCAGCTGCTTCACCCAACATAAATCTAGCTTAAATTCTTATTGGCATAGCTGCATGCACCTGGAAACTAGTTGGTACAACTAGAGTAGTTAAGGTGGGGATGTGTGGGTGTGGTTTTTTTTTTTTTTTTTTTTTTTTTTTTTTTTTCTTTGCCTCAAGAGTTAACTCGCATGTGCCAGCAGATCATTGGTTTAGTCCATGATACAGAGCAAATAGTTCCTGATGCTGTTCTGTCGGCAAAGATTATAGTTATGAAGCAGTGTGCCTCTGGCTCTCTGTGGAATAAATATATCCTGAATGCAGACATACAGTGCAAGGAAAAAAAAGAGGGGAAAAAAAAAGTAAAAAAACCCAATGATTTGGGAATATCTTTATTAGAAATGGGATTAGACAATGATTTTAAATTACTTTGATTTTTTTTTAACTAATATCTGCTAGGTTTGTGCCTAAAAGACATCCAAGCAGTTGCTATGGGTTTATTTCTCCATGGCAATCTACAGGGCTCTGCATTGGGCCGTTCAGTATATGTTAAACTTATTCTGATTTATAGGGCAGACCCAAAGCAGTTGCCTCTTGCCGTGGTAGTGGGACTTCTGTGCTGTGGGGAACTGAGTTTTTAGTTAGTTAATTTTTTTATTTTTTTTTAAGACTACTTCCAAGAAAGTTCCATCTCAAAGCTGATTACACTGAAATTTCTGTCCTATGGGGAACTCAAACTTTGTTTGAAATAGGAGGAACCTGTCTTTCTGTAATACAGACACCTGGTGGTTTGTGCCTTATCTTTTTGAAAAGGTTAGTGCTTATAAGGGCTGTCAGGAGATGTCATGCAAGATGTCATGCATCTTTCTCGTATCAGGACAGGTATAAGAGTGAATCTGAACCCCAAAAGGGGCAATAATTCCTTTCCTTATTTAATAATCTAGAGAGGACTGTTTTGCTTGCCTAGTTCAGCCTCCTGCATAATAAGCTGTTGAACTTTGCCACATAGTGCTTAGGTTAAATGCCTTAACGGCTAAATGCTTAGGAAAAACATGAAATCTTGATTTGGAGACTTTAAATGCTGAATTATCAGCTGCCCTCTGGGAAAGCATTTTCTGTGTATAATTTTGCTGCTTAGAAATACTTTGAAAGGGTTTATCGGGTGTGGTACAGTACCCAGTCCCTGAATCATATTTTTACATTTTGGGGTAGAGTCGTTGGCACCACATTAAAATTTGGTGGTAGACCCTTGGAAGGCTTCAGTACTCATCATGTCTA